TTATAGATAGATAACAGGAGACAGGGGGAGAGACCATTTAAAATGGGAAGTGGACCAAACGTTGGAGGGAGAGAGAGGAAGAAGAGAGAAGCAGCATCAATAATTAAGGTATGTCATGTACTATATCAGCTCCCCACAGAGAGGTAACCACTATGTACTGCAAACAGGTATTAATAAATATTAAAATATCTTAAAATGAAAAAAAAATAAATTTACATGTTGGATGAGGATATCGTGAGTCTATGTAGACATTCAGGTTGAAGCTCAAATTCAAGGGTGTCTCATATAAATGCTAACCCACTAGTGAAATTGTATAGCACATCGTGAACTCTGCCCCTGCTCTACCACTGACAGCCTTCAGCTTGAGGATTGGGCACCAGCTGCAGGTGTGTCGGAGGCAAGGCGAGGCCACCATAAAGATGGGGTGGGTGGAGAGGCCGAGCTGGGGGGCTGAGAAGTGCAGGGAGCAGTGCTTGGTGCTCGGTGCTTGGGTCCAGAGTTGCCATGCATCTTCCACTCAGTGCGCTGCTCTCAGGAGAATTCACAGTCACCACAGGAGCAGGGTCCCTCCCTGGCTCCTGTCTGTTCCACTTGAAGTTGTGAAAGGAGCTACGGTGTAAGTACATTGGCGAGCGCAGTTTTCTCCTTGCAGAATAAACTGTGCTCACCAGGTTTTTGCCACTCACCACTATTCAGATGGCTGCATGGAATCAAGCAGCAGATGCCACATTCTCAACACCAATTTTCACCCCTTCTTTACTTCCCACAGAAATCCAAGCTTATTAGAATACGATCCCAGTTTCTTCTCTCTTCCTACCCTAATGCGCTGTACTTAGCCCCAAATCCTATGATGGCTTGTTTCTGCACAGGCACCTTCACATGTGCTGAGGATGCGCGAAGCCTCTGCCCTCGGAGAACTGCCTTGTAATGAGTGGAAGGTTCAGCAGTTAAGCCCAGATGCAAGTTTCCAACGTTGAAATTCATGACAACTTCCAATTTACTGCTTCTATTTTTTAAGTAAAATAGAAATTCAATGAAAAGGTAAATATTTGAGACCCCATGCAAAATAAAAAACCTGAAATGCTATAACCACATAACACAAAACAGGATTTCAGACAAGAGTTAGTAGTGTAAAGATTTTATGTGTCCACAGTACCCAGATATTTGTTGCATCACTAATCTAGATACCACTGTAAAGATATTTGTAGAGGTTAACAGTTAATAGACTTTGAGTCCAAAGTTGAGACTCCAAAGCACGGTGAAGGTCTTGTGAGATCAGTTCAAGATTTTAAGAGAAAAAATACTAAGCTGTCTCAGGGAAAAAGAAAAAGTGCTGCCTCTGGAAAACCTTCAAAATTGACCTGAAAATCCAGGCTTTTGTGGCTTTTTATTTAACCTAACAGCTGTTTTGAAGAAAGTGGAAATTCATTTCTCAAAAGTGCAGAAATCAGTTCTTCCAAACAAATCATAGCTAGGTAGTTCACAAGATTGATAGCTACACACAGCTGTACACATATAGATGTATAAAATTTCATGCACATTTCAGGAAAAGAAAAACTTTTATAAATATGTTAGCACTAAATTGATCGAGATATTAGAAGACTAACAAAAATTTATCTTTGGCCTCTCCAATGACAAGCAGTGGCCATTAGGTTCCAGGCATTTATTAGCCAAACTTCTGCCTGAATAACCTTGGTCACTGAGATTGCTTTGCACACGTTTTTCAATTTCTTCCGTAAGGACTGGCAGCGTAGTAGGTTTTCTGTTACATATGACATCCTCTAAGGTTCCCCCTAGAAGTGTAACTCTATGTGTTGAAAAAAACCCTATTTTTCTTTTGCTGAATCATGTATACATTAATGTGATCCATATATGTCTATTTATATATATTATAATTTTAATCTATATATCCCTAAATAATATAGATACATAGTTTATGGCTTTTATGTATTTTTCTGAACACTTATTCACAGTAAAATCACTGTTAAACACGTGGATGCTGATATTGCTGGTAGTGTGGTGGGTGATATCTCTGATACTGCTGTAGTTTGAATACATCCTCTAAAGCTCTTCTGTTGGAAACTTAATTTCCAAGACAACAGTTTTGGGAAGTAGAGACATTTCTAATGAAATTTTAGGTCATTAGAATTTGGCACTCAAGAGTAGATTAATGTCATTAAAACATAAAATTATGAGTATCCAAGTAGACAAAATGGGAAAAATCCTAGGTGAACCCATGCCTGGCAACGATTGCTACAGAAAACACCAGCTAGATCCATGCAAGCAATTATTGATAGGCTGCATTTTATTCATATTGAAAACTTTTTCTCTGTGAAAGGCAACACTAGTGACTGAGAAGGCAAGCTTCCACTAGGAAAAGTTATTGCAAAAACACATCTGATAAGGGGCTATTACTGAAGCTATACAAAGAAATCTTAAAATTCAGCAATAAGAAAGCAAATGGAAAAACTGGGTGAAACACTTTGCAAGACTTTATCAAAGATATACGCTTATGGTAAATAGCATTATGAAATAATGTTCCATATATATGTCATCAGGGAAATTCAAATTATAAGGTACCACTAACATATCAGCTGCAACACCAATTAGAGAACATGACAACAAAAAATGCTGGTGAGGATATGGAACAACATGCAGTCTAATTTATTCTTCTGAGAATGCAGACTGGCACAGACACTTTTGGAATCAGTGGAGAACTCTCACTTTATGTGGCCAAACAATCAACTCCTTAATGTTGGCCCAAAGTACCTGAATACATATGCCCACAGCAAAACCTGTGCAGAGATGTTTACAGCAGCTTCATTGTTAGTTGCCAAAATCTGGAAGAAAGTCATATGAATTAAAGGAATAAATAAATGGTGGTTTCGCGATAAAAAGGAATATTATTCAGCACTCAAATGCAATGAACTATCAATCCACGAAAGCCATGGAGAAGAGTTACATGCTTGGTGGTCAGTGAAAGAAATCAGTCCAAAATGCTACATTCTAACTAAACACAATATGGAAAAAATAAACTGCGGAGATATTTTAAAAGGCAGTGGTGACTGGGTTTGGGGCTGGGAATATGAATAGGAAGAGCACAGAGGATGTTCACACAGTGAGAGTTCTGCATGACACTCTACTGGATGATACATGGCATTAAACTTTTGTCAAAATCCGTATGCTGTGAAACGCCACAGGTGATCTCTAACATAGAGCCTGGATTCTGGGTGACTGTTATATGTGGTGTGTGAATGAAAGTTCACCAGCTGTAACAAGTGGGCTACTGCAGATGAAGATGTTGGTAATGAGGAAAATGCAGAGGTGTTTGGGGTGGTTCAAGAAACTTCTGTAATTTCCTCCCAATTTTGTCATAACCTAAACCTACTCTAGAGAATTAAACCTTTAAATGGTGGAGCTTTGCAAATATGTGATGGGTGGAACAAAGTTACTTATGAGGAGCAGAGACAATAGCCATAAAAATAAGCAGACAGGAGTGGGTAATACTATAAAGAAAAAATGTAAGTATTTGAAATTGGAAATGAAATTGCATCTACTTCATAATTAAATGAAGTATTTTGTTGAAAGAGAAAGTGTAACTGATAAGCAATAACAATGAGATGTCTGGAGGAAACAGTTATACTGAATGAGGACTGCTCATGGTATAAGTTTGTGACACTTATTTATGGGATGATTTCAATGCCACACTCTGCTATGATCATGTTTCTTTCAGTGTAAGATTTAATTTTCCTATATTAACTGATTATTCTATTCTAGTATTTTATTTACATATTTTAAATGTCTCGCTTTTTAAATAGGCTGCTGTTCGATTTATCACAGGCTTTTCAAATTTCTGGACTTCACAAGCAATCACTGTTTGCTTTGCAGTCTTTAGTGAATAGAATGGTTGGTCTGTTACGTATTTTCTACCTGGATTCTCTCTCTTCAACCTTTTCCTTGTGATTTGATTCCCACACCTTCACACAAGGGTACCGCACACGTTTGATGCTCTGTGATCATCTCTCTCATTAGGTTTAGGTTTCATCTTTACTTGGTCTGAGTGCAAGCTTCTTTTTCTGTATATGTGACTTTTTATTTTCTATATCAACCAGTAATATTGTGTTGTTCTCAGTGTTGTCATCTTTTTGCTGTAATTTGTTCATTCCCCTTTCAGTATTTTTACTGTCTTTTTAACAGTTTGCTGGGGAAAAAAGAAAATTTATACTCTTAACTTTCACTGGGACTGTAACAAACTCACTTGAGGAGGTATTAGAAAGTCACATGATCTCTGTAACTAAGACAAGCAATTTCTTCAGCAATGTTTGGATTCCCCTATCCATTTTTTTCTTGAGAGAGGGTCTCACTACATAGTCCAGGCTGGCCTCGAACTCAGGCCAATCCTCTTGCCTCAGCCTCTTGAGTGCTGCGATTACAGGCATATACCACTACACCCAGCTTCTCCTTTCTCTTGAATATCAGCCATGTCTAGCTTATGATTTTCCCCAAATAAATCATTCTTCTTCATGAGAAAAGCTTTTTAAAAAAATTCCTGCATCTTTCTTAATATTGAGCTTATGTTCATCTTCCTTTCCTCTCTTACCTTCTTTCTCTATTAGGAATCATAGGCTTTTGGGATATCATAGATTTGCGGTCAGTTGTCCTCCCAGGTTTTGTTAGGGAGACAATATTAAGATGTTACATTTGACTCTTTAATAATGACATCAATATCTGCCAGCACAACTCACTTGTGAGGGTTGAAATTTGTCTGCAAATATAAGTACAGAGGCTACAGTGGCTTCTTGGGTTTTATCTTGAAGGCATTTTAGCCCTGAGTAAAGGGTTAGCACTGTAAAATTCCACTTTCAACTTCACTGGTGAGAAGCTAACTTGGAGATGTCCTTTGTTTCTTCTGCTGTGGATTTTATAGAATTTTTCATCAAGCACCAGCACACACTGTGCTGAAACCACAGTGGATCCCAAAGGCAGACACCCAGCAACCAGGCTCCTGGTCCTGCTCAGAGTTTGTGCTCAGCTCCCCCTGCAGTTCCTGCCACTGTGTCACTCAGTGCACAGTAGTACACAGCCGAGTCTGACGCCTGCACTGAGGCTTTCTTCAAGTGGAAGGATTTGGTTTCTTTATCATAGATGGCTTCGAAGCCTTTGCTTATTTCCCTTTGGTTGGCTTTCACAGCTTTTAGGAGGAGCTGCGGACCTTTTCCAGGGTACTGGACATACCAGGAAAGCTCAGGGTAGCCTGAGGCTGTATAAGTGCAGTTTATGGTCAGAAAAGTCTCTTCTGTGGTGGTCACTTGGCCTCCCATCTGTGTCACCGACTGTCCGCATGTCCTTCCTGGGGAAAAACAGATTTGTGTCATTTTAGGCATAAACTCCTAGAGAAACTGAAGGATTTTGTGACATCATACACAAAGGACTCTGCATTGCAAATACAATTTACTTACCTACTATTAAGACTATCACCGTCACCAAGGCGGGAGAAGCTTTCATCTTTAGGATAGCGCCTAATTAAATTTCTTGACTCTACATGTAGACCTATTGGAATCCTAGTGAAATGATGAGAGCTTAAACCTACAACCAGGACCAGAAACGAGTTTGTGTTAGGAAGCTGCTCCCCCTGCTGGACAGGGACCGACCTCCAGTAAATGTTTTCCTGGACTTCAAGTCAGAAATAACATCTCATCTCTGTTTTCATTTATAAGAATGTGTCAGTCTTCCGATGGCCTGTGTCAACTTGTCAGACAGTCACTGTAACCTCGAAGGTCTTTTTGTTCACACAGTACTACCTGGCATGAAAATGTCTCACTAGCGACCCCGAGGGTATCATTTGCTGTTTAGTGCTTGTCAGAAGATAATTACCCTGGATTTTTTAACACTGGACTTCATATTCTTACGTGTGCATTGTGAAATAGCCTGAAATTCATAAAATGTATAAAAGTGACTTGTCACACCGTTATCATATACTTTTGTTTTTCAGCACTGTTTCTCACATTACAGCAGTGACTGATGGGTACTAGATGCCCAGTTACATAAAACTAAAATAATGATTACTAGTCTTTGGTGGAGGACTCAGTGCTACATCCACACAAATACTTTGTATGTTCTAAATTAACACCAATTCAGGGATATTGTCTTTAAAATTTTTACTGGCACACTTTTGACCTACACATGGTCACACTCACCATAGAGAATATGCTCCTGCCACGGTGTGACTTACTCCTTTTTCCATTCCCCTCTCTGCCCTTCAGTCCTCATTCTCATTTACAAGGCTTTGTACCTGTTGTTTTCCTTCAGTTCTTTTCTATCTCCATTCCCTTCCTTCCTTTCTCCCTTCTCCCTCCCTGTTCCCCTTCTTTGTTGAACATTTTCTCCTTATGTTCTAAAATCTGATTCACCATTTCCTTCTTATTTAGCCTTTTGTTTTCTCACACAAGGGAAACAGTATGATATTTAAACATGTGTGTCCAACTTATTTCAAATTATGTTAAATTATGTTCTCAAAGTTCATTCATTTACCTAAAAATATCTCAAGTTTATCCTTCGTAGATATACTATCATTTTAAGAAAAGCTTTTCTGGAGAAAAATTCACACTGTGTAAACAATACTCAGATAGTCCTGGATTTCAATGTGACTGACAAGCTAGAAGTGTGAATCCTAGACTCATTAAGATGATTGAGTCTCTTTTGAGTAATTTGAGATTGTTCATTTCCTCCCACTATCCCACTTGCTCCAAGCAAGATCAGCTGTATGAATCTGGCAAGTGCTAATGCAGGACTCTCATGGGAAAGCCTCAGGGATACTTTTCACATTGATGGAGGCTTAGACCAGTTGTTTCTTGGAGCTCAGTTTCCTCAGGTTCAGTTAAAGGTGCCCTGAAGTTCAGAGTCAATGCATCAATATCCTCTTAGACATGGATTCAGAAAACAGACTCAGATATTGTTTGGGTCCATGTCTTCTTTCTCTCTTTACCTTCCCCATCTTATTGACAGAACCCAACACAGAACTATGATAGTGAGGAAGTTTGAACAGTCAGCTACAAAATCCTCTTCTGGTAAATGGTGTCACTGAGAAATAAGTTGGGAACGTTACTGGTTTTTAAAACGCAATAACAGAGAGAGTTCAATTTTACATGTGGCTGTTTGGTAAGTGCTGTGTTCCATAAATGACTGGCTGTACAGCAGCATGATGAAGTGAACACCACGGAACTGCACACTTACAAATGCTACGATGCTATGTTTTATGTCATGCTGACTTTCATCACCTGATACATCACCCATCCTTAAATGATAGAAACAGAAAGTGAGCAGTATAAGATTTTAATTCAGCTTTTCCAGAGTTTCCCTAAGCAGCCAGTCCACAGAAGATGATCACTGATTTGTGATCCCTGAAATGCATGTTCTTACATGAGGTAGACAGTGAGTCCACAGCTATCAAAGCTCTCTAGATGATGAAATAATTAAAGGCCACGCTCTCAACAGCGGTTCTTTGTTTTTTATCCTTTATATATATGTTTCACATTTTTATTTGATTTAGTGCATGTTTGCAGTGCATAGTGATTATATTCATCACAGCGAGTTGGTACATGTTCAGAAAATGTCTTACTTCTTTTTCTGCCCTTCCCTTCTCCTCCATACTACTTTCCTCTGTCTTTTGATTCCCTTCCTTTTGGAAAGACCTATCTTCTGTTTCCTATTATTTTTTTATTTTGCTCTATACTTGTATCTTCCTATTCTAGATAATCTCATGAGAGAATTAAGCAGATCATATGACTGTGATACATGATTTCCATCCAAGTGACGCTTGGGGTGTTAACATCCCAGCCAGGGCTGGTTATCAACTTTGTGATACTCATACAAAGTGAAAATTTGAGGTCCCTTGTTCAAAAAGCAGAAAAATCTCTAACAAGGAATATAAAGCTGTCTTTATAAAATAGTTTGTTACTTATAAAACACATAAGACTTATACCTACATATACATAACCACTATAATAATATTAGATGCAAAATAATTGGTGTCTACATGAAAAACAGTTTAAATTAAAAACAAATAACATTGCCTTATGAATAGGATGTCTTGATTAATCATAAGGTTTTTCTTCCTTTTCTTATTAGATTTTCAAAAGTTATTCTTTCAACAACTTCATTTTGAAGCAGTACAACTGAAAGTGATGTCAGATGCTCTTGATAAAAGCAAGGTTGCAATCAGAATCTTTGATAATTTCCAATTTTGAGAAATGATGTAGCAGATGCTAAAGATCTTGGGAATATTTTATTGACTGTGACAACATTAGCATAAATATCTGATGAAGTAGTTTGAAATGAAAATTTTAATAAATCTAGGATGGATGTTTCTAGTGAAACAATTATCCTAAGATGATTCACCCTCATACAAGATAGTTCATGTGACACTGAATTTTGATTTAAATGTAGTGTACACAATAATGCTTTGTGTCCTCTAATATTTTCTATAACTCAGTATCTTAAAATGGTTTTTTGACTTTCATATAACTCAAAGTGCATGCTTTTATATCACATTGCTATTATATAACTTCTAAGGAAAATCAATATCAAAATCATTTCATTGTTAATAATTGGTTCCTTCTCAGATTCTTATCAAAATAGTTTTTCTTCATAAAGATATATTTTTATATTTAATTTTAATTTCTAAGTCTATAAAATTCAGTCTGCAATATGACATCAGTTTTTGACCAGAGTTTATGAACCTTTTGAAAGATTCTAGTATTTCCAAAACAGTGTATTTCATTATGTATATGCTTATTTTGTAATAATTTACTAATAATGTTTATTAGTACTTACTTTTAGGTGCCTTGCATTACTAAAGAGCTCCTAGTGTGCAATGCACTTGGAATGGGGCAACCAGCTTTGTCCTTGAACCCAAGTCTCCAAGGATTCCTGTCCTGAAGCCCAGTGTTTCTCATGTGTTCATTTACAATTCCCAGCTGTTAAAGATTTCACATACAGAGCACAAGCTCAAGGACAAAGGCATTAGGATTGTCACCACAGCAATAACAGAACATCTAGGCCATTTGTGGGCCAGGTCTGTGGATTTTGAGTCACCTGCTCAGGAGGCTGCTCTTGTTCCCAGCTTTCCTGGAGTTGCCTGTTTGTCCTTACCTTAGTTCTCAGGATTTCATCCCTCCCCAGGTAATCCTACACACTCACACTCATGACCTTGCAAGGCAGAAATTCAATTTGCTTTGCCATTGATGCAAGTTTAGACCTTGAGTTTGGTCTTCAAGGTGTTGCTCCAAACTTTTTGTTCAGTTTTGCGTACCACCAAAGATGTAGGGAAATCTGGAGTAATAGATTCACTCAAAATGTAAGTAAGGCCAGTGGATGTTAACATCAAAAACAGAAAAAAGTCCAATGAGTTCTTCTGGAAGGGTGCTATTTGGAAAAGACTACAGTGCATATTGTTGACCTTGTTGTATGTGAACATAACATACAAATTTATCAATAGGTGTCATAGGCCTTGGGGACTCTGCTCTGGATACTCCAGAGTACAGTCTCTAGTGTCAGATATCCTGGGTGGGAAATCCTCTCTTGCTTCACTGGTTAGCAACCATGTGAGCTCCAAAGAGCACTTCTGCTCTGCAACTTTCAGTTTACTCCTGAGTGAAGTGGAAATATATTGTCAGTTCTTATATCATATATGTAATCACCTAGACAGAGTGACCGACATTCAATGACATGAAAGTTTCATTTTTTAAATATTTTTACACATTCCACGAGTGAAATATATATATATATATATATATATATATATATATATATATTCACATACTCTCATTGCATTTCCATGAAAATGGAATAATACAGAAATATCTAGAATATCAACTCATCTCTTCTCAGTTTGTTGAAAATCATGAATTTATCCCAGCCTTTTTCATCACAGTGACTTATAAGCAATTGATACACTCTGAGAGAGGATCCTCTTCACAAGTGCCTTGGGTCCTGCCCTCTGTTTCAGTGGTTCTTTTTACACTTAAAACAATTTCTGGAAAAGAAAATATATGAACCATATAATGTGACTGCCCTGAAAAGTGATGTTAGTAGGAGTCAAACTGGTATAGTATGAACCAGGAAATGTAAAGCCGTGTCTGCTGCAGGGTGAGTCCCCCTGAGGCAATGGCTGTGGCTCAGCCCCAGCTGCAGTTTGGGGCCAGGCTGCAGGTGACAGGGGAGCACTGTGCTTCTCCTGCACAGAAGTAGGAGCCTGCATCTCCCAGATCAGAGGCTGTAATTTGCAGGGTACTGAAACGCTCTTTGGAATTGAATGTCGACTCTAGCCTTCCATTCTTCTTTGTCCCAGAAGTCAGGAAGAACAGATTGAGGAGCCTGCCTTCTTCATTTTGCAGAAACCATTGCACAGTCCTCATGGTGGTAGAAAAATTGCACCTCAAGGCATGGCGGGCTCCCTCCTGGAGACTCAGGGTCAAAGGGCTCTGTTCCACCCGCACCCCTCTCACCCCTGTTTGGAAAGAGAGAAGCAGACACATATGTTGGCACTGAGGAATCACTGAGCACTTAGAAAAACCTGAACAATATCCTAGGAAACGCCCATGGCGACAGAGAAGAGCGCAGGGCCCCCGTGCCAGTCCTCCTTTTCCATCTTTCCACTGTCAAGCCTGCAAGCCCCAGATTCCAGGCAGGGCCCTCCACTCACAGCAAACCTGCATGCACAA